GAGAGAGAGAGAGAGAGAGAGAGAGAGAGAGAGAGAGAGAGAGAGAGAGAGAGAGAGAGAGAGGCAAGGAGGTCTCGTAGGGCAAGGAGGTGTCGTAGGGCAGGTCGCTAGGGAAGGGGTAGGCAGGATAAGGGAAGTCCGTCCGGTAGTGCAGGCAGGTCGCGTAGGGCAGGGGTAGGCTAGATTGGGGAAGTCCGTCCAGTAGTGCAGGCTGGTCGCGTAGGCAGCCCCATGCGTAGGTACATCATCTGGTCATGTTCTAGCAAGAAGTTCATTCTCATTTTTCACATTTCGAGAGTGGGAGTGTTGGAATCCGGATGTGCCGCTAGGTATCCTTCGTTTTTTCCTTTGTTTTTTTCCCGAACGGCTATACCTCTGCTTCGCACAGTATTTAAAAAAAAAAAAATTGGACCATTTTTTGATTTATGCGTGTTTTTATTTTTTATTTTTGAAAGACAAATTCTCCGACCCTGTTTTTGCCTACGGTGACTTTCACAGCGCACCGAGTTTTGCCGAGATTGGACAAGGGAAAAAAAAAAAAAAAAAACATCCCAAAGGCCACGATAACTGCCAGGAAAACTCTGCCAGGTATATTCTATAATGTGCTCGTGTGACTGTGCCCTCACTGAGGGCGTGTAGGGGACAAACATAGGGAAAAAAAACAAAAAAACAAAAAAGAAATTCCCTTATGCTGTGATTGAGGGCGGATACAGGGTGCTACAGCATGGACACAGTTATGTGCCACCCGTGAAATACACCCTGCCTGGCTGGCAAGGCACTAAAATGACATCGGAACAAAATCAAAACAAAACAAGAAAGCAATCTCTTTCCCCACAAAGTGGCCAGATACATTCCTCGAAGTCCTCTGCAACTTCCACCCTGGCAAGTGCAAGGACTTTCGTTTTTTTTCATTTTCTTTTCTTTTTTTTTTCTTTTTTATTCCGTTGGCATCCAACCCTGCCCCGAGCCCCTTGTGTAAAGGAGTAGGCTACTACATGGACTTTGCCTTTGCCTGTGTATTACAGGGAACCCCGTAGCAGCCACATCCGTACTAAAACCTCCAACGAGGGAACCTGCGGGAGCTGCACCCACCAGTATGTGTGATACTACAGCAAGTGGGCGACACCGGCCAGGGGTCAGCCAGTAGCGTCAGGAATGAGCTTCTTCGATGGGCCAGTCACCGTGTCTCACTGTCTCCCCTCTAGTCCCCTCACACTATGAGCATCGGCAATCTCTGCTCAATGGCATTCGGAGGGACCAACGACATATCTCCAGGTGGTGGGCGCCAAGCTTGCCTAGGAAGGTACATGAGGCCAATGGGGATTGAACCGAAGACCTCCTCAATGCCACTTGCGTGCCTTACCAACTGAGCTAGGCCGCAGGATCTTTGAACTGTTTTTGGGGCCTTCGCGGATAATTAATGTGCCCTTTAAAACGAAACCACAAAAACAAAATAAGAAAAAAAAAAAAAAAAAAGAACCACGACGGGGGTTTACCTTGCCATGTTCAAGGGCCATGGACCCATTAGCAGTCGGATAGAATTGTGGCCGATCAAGTGCGACAGGGCAGCGACAGTAAGTGGCAGCAGCCTTCCCTCTCTCTCTCTCTCTCTCTCTCTCTCTCTCTCTCTCTCTCTCTCTCTCTCTCTCTCTCTCTCTCTCTCTCTCTCTCTCAGGAAAGTCCTTGCACTTGTAGCCCATTTTCTTTCAAATTGAAGAAAACGTACTTAGTTTTGCCAACATTAGTAGTGATGTAAGCAACATTTATGTCATGATCGCACTGTTGAAGAACTGTTGACCGGTCCGCAGAATGTTAGTTTCAGCATCAACGTTAATTCGAATGTTGCTTGAACAACCCAAATGTTTCTTCAACCCAAAAGGTAATGGAGGTTTTTTTCTGTTGTAGCTCCTCTTCCAACCGTTGTCTCTCCTCTTCCTCCATCTCTGCTTGCACCTCCCATGCGCACCTAAGTTGCCATAGGTACCTGCTACATGTGCACTCGGCTCCATGCACAACGTCCCTTCTAGAGAAGAGGCTGCCGTCTGGCCATCGTATGCTGAACGGATTAATGGAGCTTCCCTGGGCACAGCTCCTGCTGTTCCTCGAGCTCGCCATGTTGTCACGCACCATGGTGTTGTGGAGAGAGAATGAGAGAGAGAGAGAGAGAGAGAGAGAGAGAGAGAGAGACAGAGAAAGAGAGTGTAGGATAGACACAGAGAGAGACAGAGCGATGGAGAGAGAAAGAGAGTGTAGGATAGAGATAGAGAGAGACAGAAAGAGACAGAGCGATGGAGAGAGAGATGGGCTATGGAGCAGCAGCATAGTGGAGTTCCACTTAACAGCAGCATTGACGAGTTGGAGTTTGACATGATCCATACTCGGCTTGGTCAATGTTTTATACAGTAAACGTTGACCTGGCCCTTGCCCCGGGCTGGGCATTGACCTGATCTTGGGCCCAGGTGGACGTGAGTGTGGACCTGGGCCTGTTCTCAGGTTTGCATGAGTGTTGACGTCTCGCAGGTGTTGACGTGGCAAACAAGCACAAGGACAGAGAGGCAGAAAGGCAGACAAGCAGACAGGTGTTAACGTGGCAGACAGGCACGCTCTGTTGCTTTTTTTTTTTTTTTACCGTTTTAAAGCCCCACTCTGTGTGCCTGTCTCCCTGTCTGTCATTGTGCCTGACAGGCAGACAGGCAGACAGGCAGGCAGAATGTTTGTTTGTCAATCAGTCAGTCAGTCTGTTTGGTTGTCTGCCGGTCTGCCTGTCTGCCTGTCTGTCTGTCTCGCAGGTGTTGATGTGGCAGGCAGGCCTGCACGCAGGTGTTGACGTGGCAGACACGCATGCAGGCAGAGAGGCAGGCAGGTGTTTATGTGGCAGCCAGGCACGCAGGCAGAGATGCAGGCAAACAGCCAGGCAAACTGTTTCTTTGTCATTCAGTCAGTCTATCTGTTTGATTGTCTGCCTGTCTTCCTGTATATTTGTCTCGCAGGTGTTGACTTGACAGACAGTCTGACAGGCAGACAGGCACGCAGACAGGCAGATATGAAGACAGACACGCATACAGAGAGGCAGGCAGACAGTGAGGCAGGCAGATAGGGTCCGCGACACAAGGCAGGTCGGGAACACAGGCTCGGCGCAGGTTTGGGACACAGCCTGAGGGTCAGATCGGGGACAACGGCTGGGAGCAGGCGAGGGAGACGGGTCCAGCGAGGTGTGGGCACACAGGACCAAGCACGTAGCATGTAGGGGACAGCCCCACGCTCTGGCTGAATCTTGGGTCCACGCTCAAGGGTAACCAGCTGACGGGGCCCAGGTGCAGCCTGGGAGCCTTTTTTTTTTTTCCCTTTAAAAGGTCAGGCCTTGAATAGGCCCAGGTGCACCTTGGGAGCCTTTTTTTTTTTTTTCCTTTAAAAGGCCAGGCCATGAATAGGCCCAGACTGGGCCTGCACCTTGGGTGTTCGGTCCAGTCCCAGGCCTAAGCTGCTCGCCGGTTACGGGCCCAGGCCTAAGCCTAAGCTGCTCGCCGGGTCAGCCCGGGGACAGCAGTTGGGAGCAGGCGGGTCCAGGGAAGGGTGGGCACACAGGACCAAGCACGTAGCATGTAGGGCCCAGGTTGACGTGAGTGTGGACCTGGGCCTGTTCTCACGTTTGCATGAGTGTTGAGGTCTCGCAGGTGTTGACGTGGCAAACAGGCAGACAGCCAGACATGCAGACATGCAGATAGGCAGGCATGCAGACAGGCAGACATGCAAACAGGCAGGCACGCAGACAGGCAGACATGCAGTCAGGCACACAGACAAAGAGGTAGGCAGACAGTGAGGCAGACAGATAGGGTCCGTGACACAAGGCAAGTCGGGAACACAGGCTCGATGCAGGTTAGGGACACACCTCAAGGGTCAGGTCGGGGACAGCGGCTGGGAGCAGGCGAGGGAGACGGGTCCAGGGAAGGGTGGCCACACAGGACCAAGCACGTAGCATGTAGGGGACAGCCCCACGCTCGGGCTGAATCTTGGGTCCACGCTCAAGGGTAACCAGCTGACCGGGCCCAGGTGCAGCCTAGGAGCTTTTATTTTATTTTTTTTCCCTTTAAAAGATCAGGCCGTGAATACGCCCAGACTGGGCCTGCACTGTGGGTGTTAGGTGCAGGCCTGAGCCTAAGTCGCTTGCTGGGTCCGGGTGTAGGATGGGGCTACGTGCTTACTATTTTTTTTTTTTTTTTTTTTTTTTTAATTCGGACCCGAGGGCTCAACAGAGTCGACACGATGGAGCCTTTTCTTGCCTGAACGCATACACCCCCTTCTAATTCGAAGTCGAGGCCTCGACGGTTGTTGGACGGAGTTGACGCGACGGAACCTTTTTTTCTTGCTCTCTCTCTCTCTCTCTCTCTCTCTCTCTCTCTCTCTCTCTCTCTCTCTCTCTATTTATCTACCAATGAATCACGCAATTCTCTTGACTGCTTGGTTGATTGGAATTTTTTTTTTCCCAATTAAACAATCAATCAATCAACCAATCAATCAAGCGATTGATCAATTAATCGATTGCTCAATCAATCGATGAATCAATCAATCATTTTTGCTTTCTTTGTCCCTGTTTTCTCTCTCTCTCTCTCTCTCTCTCTCTCTCTCTCTCTCTCTCTCTCTCTCTCTCTCTTCTTTCGATCAATCAATCAATTTGATCGATTTATTGGTTGATTTCTTTTTCATGGTGGTCTCCACAGATGGACAAGCATCTACTCAAATGAATGTGGTGGTCGACAGGCAGGTAGATAGGCCGGTTGAAGGAATATCATGGTCCAATGTGCTGATGCAAATTCAGGCACATAGTGATGCGGATGGTGTATTCGGAAATTGGCTCGCGGATGCTTGCACGGAGAAGAAATACCTTGAGGAATATAGTGAATGATACAAGTATGGCATGACTTCGCAAATTCATGACATGGAGCAACGACTGCTTCAGCGTGAGTCTAAAGTGTCTTATGGTATTGCAAGTAAGGTTCCGAACGATTCTGCATTGAAAGGAGAATGCGGTCGCTATATGACTGACAATGAAGGCCTTCGGTAGACTCAGGACGAGTTGCTTGGGATGTTGAAGAAGAAGGAGGCAGAAATGATTGCGTTGAGGAGTGCATTCGCAAAAATTGAGGTGAATGCACGATCAGTGCTTGAAAGTTTCCTGGAAAGGAAACGAAGTGAAGAGGTGAGAGATTGGTCTTTGTCCGGTAGTGTGGATGCGAAGAAGGAGGAGAATGTTGGCGAGGACATTGCCAGCCAACTTACATCTTTAATCCAATCCTCCATTAGAAATGACTTGCTTGACCAAGTTGTTGAGCTTAGTACTAAAGTTGATCCGCATGTGTCCCAAGAGTGTGAGTATTTGCGTCTACGCTGTGAAACAACCGAGAGTGGATTGAGAAAATTGTTGTCGGCGGGTGCCTTGCCATCGATTGATCCTTCTTTTGCATTAGAGGTGTTTGAGCTTCCATTAGGTCGAACTTTAGAAGAGCTTCCGAAAAATTGTTTGATTGGTATGTTGCAATCATTGCGAAGAGTTGGTGTGGAGCTTGCACATAGAAATGCAGTTTTTGAGGTGCAAAATACAATGAGGTTTCCGGTAAGCGATAGCCAGTTGAGAGCGAGAGTTGTTACTCTCGGACAATTGTACAAGGAGGCACGAGAAGAGTTAATGGACGCTATGTTTCAACATAGTTTCTCGGATCAGTGCGGTGAGGGACTGACGGATGGCATGATGGCGAGTTACAAGGAACAGTTGTATAGCCTCATAATTTTGTTAGCAAATATCATTGGTGCCCATTCGCAGGTGCGGGTTATGAAGAAGATGGGTCATGCAAAAAAGGAATTGAATGCTCTCGCGAGCATAAATAAAAAGCATGAGACCAGATTGCATGAGGTGGTGCTTGCATTGGTTGAAGCTCTGAGGCGTCGATGTCCAAAGTGTAGCCGCCTAAGCTATTTAACAAAGGGGGACTATAGAAAGATAAATGATTTGACGGTTATTACATCTACGTGTGACAACACGACAAACCTTTATCCCCATAGAGATGTTGTTGTTGATGAGGACGAAAAGTTCGCAATGGAAGAAAGAAGAAGGCAGCTTCGTGGGCAGGACGATATAGATGAATAATGTGTTTTTTTTTTTATGGTCGTATATGCATTAGCTGGTGTTCGAGTGAGAACAGTAAGTGAGGAAGGAGCTAAAGTGAGAGGGAGAACGGGGACGTGGGGTGGGATGATGAGCAGGAATGCGTGCTTTCACGTTTGTTAATTTTATTGATGATGATGACACTTGAATGGGTTTATGATAAAATGCTTAAATTCTTTATTTTTTGACACTTTTATTTGAGTTTTCTCTCTCTTTGTCTTTGTTTCTCTCTCTCTCTCTCTATTTTTTTTTTTCTCTCTCTCTCTCTCTCTCTCTCTCTCTCTCTCTCTCTCTCTCTCTCTCTCTCTCTNTCTCTCTCTCTCTCTCTCTCTCTCTCTCTCTCTCTCTCTCTCTCTCTATCTATCTATCTATCTATCTATCTATCTATCTCTCTATCTATCTATCTCTCTATCTCTGTCTATCTCTATCTGTCTATCTATCTATCTATCTATCTATCTATCTATCTTCTATTTGTTTCGACATTCCCTCTTTGACAACTATGATTTGCATTTGCATGAAAATATTGTTGATGTATAAAAATAAAGGTTGCTTTCGTCATTTGTTGATATATTATCTCATGTTGTATGTGTTCATTGTTATGGAGATCATGTTATTGTTTAGAGACTGATATTTTTTTCTTTTTTTTTCAATATTGTTTTGTTTTCTGTGTTCGCTCTTATACTGTTCTACTTATTCCTGAAAAGACAACCAGGTGAGTATCCTCTAAAGTATGGACATGGGATAATATTAAAGACCGGTTAAAATCAATAAGAAGATTGAAATAAAAAAAAATATACGGAGAAAGGTTGTAAAGGTTATGAATAATTAGGACAAAAGAATCTCAATCATAAAAGAACACGGAGCAATAAGTTTGAGTCCTCTCCTTGCAGACGGTCTCGAAGCAAGGCAAACGATGCTTAAGAATAAACAAGTTACGTATGAGTGTGCTACGTGGGATGATGAAAATACTAAAGCGCTTATGTGAAGAAAATTAAGTCCTATTAGGAGGGTTGGGTCAAACTACGTATTTCTAATGAATATTGGAGAAGGAAATGATCCGATAATGAAGGGATAAAGATGACAATAAACGTAGCATTTTTCCCAAGACTCCCGTGCTATCCCGAATGACCTCCTCTCACCTAACCCTGTTCCAAAAAGTCATCTTCTCTACCCCCTTTGCTCCTGTGTCATCAAAGTCGCCCAAGCAAAAGAGGAAAAGAAAGGTGATGTCATCAATGGTTTGCCCGACCTCGATCGCTAGGAATGACTCTTCCGGGAACCACGACCTTCGAGGCTGGCTGGGGAGAGGTGCGGCATGCCGCACAGACCCATTTATGGGGTTGGTGCAATATTGTTGCGGCGGAGTCAACGCCTACTTCTGAGATCTGGGCCTCGTGGCCAAGCGAGGAGAATGGGTACTATAAACTACTTCCTAGCGATCGGGGCTCGGAAAGGTCGACGAAGACATTTTACCTTCTTGAAATCTTTTGTGGACGGATGACTGACTTAGGATACCTAAGGTTGGCCACAAGTAGAGGCCGCCTCGATTAAGGTGGATTGGAGCCAAAAGAAATTATGATCCCAGTGACAAATTTATCCGAATAGGAGAGTGAGCCCTACCAGAGAATGACAAAGGGCAAACGTGGACAGACGAGGTACGTATGACTCTATCGCGTGGGGCCCTGAAAAAACTAAGGGGCGTAGAGCATCACAAATCGAACATAAGAACCGAATAAGGCATAGGAACAATATAAGAGGCGTTTTAATCAACCTCGATAGGAGTCCAAAGAGGTGGCTATGGACCTATACATCTATATTTGCACGAACAAAGAAATTCCGTTCAGAATTGTTAACATTGATTAAGCTCGATAGCGTGCTAAAAAAAAAACAAAAAACAACTGACTCCTTATTTTCTTTAATCTTCTGTGCTTCGCATTTCGGTTGTGTTGCACTCCGCCTTCTTTGTTTTTCCTGTATTTTTTCATTTTCTACTTGATACTATATTACTCTTCTTCATATATAATTACATCTATATATGGATGTTTTGACGTGTTTTCTTTTCGTTGCGGTTGTCGATATGCATCTTACTCCTCCTATCCGCCGTGACGCGCCCGTGTACAAATACGTATGTACGTGTCCATTAATTAATATGGCAGAGGACTAAGATCCACGTGATGGTTCAACCAACAGTAATCTATCCAATGTTCCAACATTTTCTTCACCTGTGGATAAGTCCTTACATGTTCGGTGGAAGCGTCGCAAACATCATCGGCCTTTTGAAAGGGTTATTAATGATCCTTTGGTGTCCTCACTGATAGTATCAGAGTGTGCTCGATGTCATGCCATTGTTCCAGGTGAAGTCGGTTTGTCTTCGTTCGAGGGTCCTTCTTCCTCATCGAAGTATGGATTGAGACTGCGTATAGGTTTGGATGTTATCATAACACGAACACCGCAAACGCGAACGACCACCTTCCCAAAATCGTCGAACCCGGAGGTCTTTACTACAGGCGGTAGGTGTTGTAGGTGAGCCGACTGCTCGCAGAAGAGATAAACAACCGGTGGTAAGTCAAAATTATGGTCTTGATTGTTTTTTTTTTAGGAATAATGTAGTGATAAGTCTCTATCTTTTCAACAATCGATTCCATCGATGAATGATTTCACAAGTTCTGTGTTTTTCAAAAGAACGAGTCAAACAAATATTAATGTTGATACGGATCACATTAGTTGTCCTAGAAATCCCTCTATGACCTTGCAAGCTGAACGTTCGCTTGAAATTCGTACGGATGTTGCAATAAATGCAGATTCCGTTTCGATGGTGAAAAAATCAGTTTTACTCGATGATTTTCTCTTGCACTCGCCACATGTGCACAATTGTTCATCGTCGACATTCACTGTCGATGTTCGACCAAAATGTGTGGAGAGCGACCTTTCTCCCCCCTTGACAAATGTTCATTCACATTCATCTTCTGGTGCCACGATCCAACCCAATTCGCCGAACACATTAATTATAAAGTTTATTGGATCTTATAATCGACGGAGAAAATTATTATTGTGGAAATCGATTCGTTCAAGGCGCAACAGACGGTACCGTATGTTGTTGATTCGACGACTGCGTGTGAATAAAGTCGTGCGTCGTTTGAAACTTGGATCGTTGTCGTCGATGCCTCACCGTGTGTCATCGGGTTGTGATGCAAGTGCAATAGTTGTTAAAAGTACTGTAGAGACTGGTGAAGGAACGAAACAAGTCGATAGAATGTCATTGAATGTGATTGAATCGTGTTCTACGTCGCGTATAATTTTAAGACGAAGGAAAAAACAAGGAAGATGACCAAACTTTGATGTTAAACGTATGCGTGCATTCAAAGCTGCATTTAAGAATCATAGGAGGAAAGAAGATGTGCGTGCTTATAAAGATTTTGTACGGGGTGTGAGGCGAGGTTTGTTCGCTGTGAATATCCTTAAAGAGATTCGAGCGAGCGCCTCTGCGCAATCGAGGAGTGCATCTTCCCCTGCGAGACAATCGCGGAGTCAAGCTTCTCGGGTGAAGCACTCGCAGAGTCTGTCATCGGAGCGTGACAACCGCAAAATCCATCCGTAGGAAATCAAAATTCAATGAACAATCGAGAAGACAGTGAGCCGAATAGTCGTGACGAAGAAATCAATGATTCTCATGAAATTCCGGCTCCTAATCTTAATGCACTCCCATTGACACTCGTGACAACAACCTACGCGGCGGTTGAGAACACTGTGGCGATTCTTGAGAATGCTAGCACTGTTGAACCGTTCGACATTGGCGGTCGAGATGCGTGTAAGCGTTGCGGTGCTAAATTGTGGCATCACGAAAGAAAATTGACAAAGATGTGTTGTCAAAAAGGTACAAAGCATTGTCCTTTATGGGAATGGTCTCACGAAGGCTCCCCTGAGCATGAGATTCTTTCCCTTTGGACGTCTCAAACTTCCGACGGCCGATTCCTTCGAAACAATGAGAGGATAATTAGTAACAGTTTATCCCTCGCATCCTCGTGGTTGAAGCAACCGAGCGATGGTGTTCAAGAATTCCAGGGACAACTTAGAGCTCAAGGTCTAATCTTTCATCGTGTCGGTGTATTGGCTGTGGGGAATGGGGAACGTCCTCACTTTGCGTAACTATACTTGCACGATCCTCAACGTTTGGACGACGCGATTGATCAAAGGGTAGATTTCCTTAACTTACCTGCACGTACACCCGACGCCGAACTTGATCTAGCGAAACGCATATTGAGAAAGTTTCACGAATTGCTACAATGATGTAACTATTACATGAAGGACTTTATGACAGTTGCTGACCTTCCGCCGAAAGCGTTGAACGGGAGGAAGTTGATCATAAATCTGGATGTCATGCCTGATCAGGAACATACAAGGCGTTATAACTGTCCAATGGCTTCACATGAGGTGTGTGTTCTGATAGCCGATGAACTCCTTCCTCGTGAGCTGGAGATTCGTTTGCGTGCTCCTCTTCCGGGCGAGCGGCAAACAGTTGTGGTTCCGAAATGTTCTCGAGCGCACGACTGCTTAAGGTTTGTTTTACTTTTCCCGGAGGCCCGGAGGGAAATGATAGTTGGTCTGTCCGACGTGCCACGAAAGCTAGATGGCCGCCAAGACTTAGTGCCAAGGAGTAC